TGGATAATTTTTAATTGATATATATATATATATATATATATATATATAATTAAATTTGACAGATTCTCAATATTGATATTAATTGTATTACTATAATTGATAACTATATATACTTAAAATAGGTTGTTGATAATCGAATTATCAATAGAAAAAGATAAAATTATGTGTAAAAAAATTCAAATAGATAAAACTTCTTTTAATAGAACGAAATTTTATTTAATTGAAGTTGAATTAGATTTATCTGAACTTAATAAGATGAATTATTGAATTCCGCATGAATTTCAGTTCATATGAATTAGTTGTTTCTTGATTAGATTAAATAAATAGAGTTTTTTGTTATTGTTTGCATTTTTATGATAAAAATTAATTTTAATTTTCAAGTATGTACTATTTCAAAATTTGCAGATATAATTTTAGTCTTATCTATTATATAAAAGATAATAAAAAATGAAAATAATTAAAAATATTTTTAATTTGAAATAATTTAAAAAAAAATATAATTTTAATCAATGCCTGCTTTTTTATTCTAATATATTTAGTAACTTACTAGGATGGTTGAATATTGTATAATCTAAAAGGACTGCTCTTTACTCTGAATGCATATCTAACAGGTAAAACGCATTTGTTCATCACATCGAATACTATTCTGTGTATAGTTCCCGGTATAACAAGCAAGTTGCTATTTCTGTTAACTTCAATCAGCATCTTTTTCTTCTCGATGGTGTTTTTACTGACATGGTTTACCAGTTCTTCGGACATTTCTTTATTATTCAGAGTTTCGATCATTCTCATCGATATGTTAATATTTTTCTGTATTGGAATTCTCTTAACGTCGAGGTTTTCAATTACTCCAGTCGATGTATGAAGATTTTCCTGTTCCTGAATCAACGATATGTTTTATTGTGTGAACATTGTTTTATGATATTTCTAATGTTTGCGATATGTTAATATTAACTTTTTAGCGCGAAGACATCCTAAAATTGAATTCGAAAACATTATTGAATTTTCTTCGATACTAATATGATGATATAACTTAATAAATAATAGAATGATAATAGATAAATATATATAAATGAGTATAAATGTTTACAATTTTTAACTTAGGGATAAAACTTATGAGTGAAAAATATTTAAATATATAATATGATTTAAAAGGACTATTATAATCATATATTATTCTAAACAAAGGAAATAGATTATTTAACCAATACATACTATATTCTTTCAATGAAATTATAAGTTTATTTGAGAATTATATATTTGAAAATATCATCATTCGTTGACTCATATTCCTTTTGCTATCATTATATATTTTTTCATTTATTAAAATCCTTTTACGATATATACATGAGGTAGAAATAAAATAAATAAAATACTTACCTTATTTATTGTATAATTATAATATTATTGTTATTATTATATTGATTATATCAATTTTAATTTCTTTACCTCCTTTGGTTCCAAAAATTTTTCATTCGATGTAGTAATTACATTTTTGTCAACGTCTACGAAAGTAACATATTCAACGAAATTAATAAGCATATTTTCAGTGCTAGAGATTATCGATAAATCACTATCACTAAAATTTTCTTTTCTCGAATGATTGTTTTCTTTTTGATCTCGCATACGATATGTCAATGATCTTTCTTGAGTTATTTTTTTATTTTCCATCATTTTGGAATTCATCGATACATTTGAATTTTGTTGTTTCACCATAATTTTTTCAGAATTAATTTTCTGAAAGAAATGTGTTATGCGTTGATACAATTGTTTTTTATGGATAATAATGTTGATACTATTTGTTTTTTATTCCAAATACACTACCGTTGCTTCATTATTAAATGTCTCTTTATCATTTCCTAAGATATCATCCTTCATCTCAATATTTATACGATAATTTTTAATCATATCTTCATTGATGTTTTCTATAAACAAGCAATTTCATTATGAGATGGAATACAAATTTTCATATATGTTTTATTTAAATAATTTTTTAATTTATTAAATAATGTGTTTATATATGGGAATTTAAAAATCAGAATTATAATAATAAGATTTTATTCGATATTTAATATTATAATTAATATTTACTAAATGTTTATACACAAATCAAGATACCATTCAAAACTAATTTTAAATTAATTTTAAATTAATTTTTAAAATCCAAGATAAAAATCAAGATAACACATTAAAATTATATATATGATTATCACGATTTAAGAAATAATAAATATTTAAACAGAAAAACGATTAATTTTATCTAATTTGAATGAAATGTAGTGTTTGTTTAATAGATTCTAATTCTCAAGGAATCATTAACATATATAATAAAACATCAGAAAACAATGTAATATCAAATTATTATCTATTTGTTCGTAAAAGACGATCACATGTTTAACGCATGATTGATCAATTACATTGTTATTTGTTATTTGTTATTTTTTAACTATCTATGTAAATTATACGTAAACAGATATAAATGTTTTCGAATCGTTGCAATCGTATGATCAAATAAAACGAAATAAAAAAAAAAAGAGAATACTTCTTAACAAAATTAAAACTTTCAACAAGATAAGATGTTCATCGCCAATAAACCAGTGAACTCGGTCAGTGAGCGTGAATAGAACGGAGCTGAAACGTAGTGTCGAGAGTTTTCGCATACCGTAGCGAGCACATACGACACATAAACGCATGTGAAATCGGAAGTAAGAGTATAAGGTATAATTTGCTTAATAATAGAACTGCGTAGAATTCGTAATTTCAGCATTTTTCCCAGAAATCTTGTTCTCGCGTATTCCATTAATCATTATTGTTGCATGTGTTGAACATTGAACAGAAATCTCCGAGAAAAAAGAAAAAAAGAAAAGGATAAACTCGCTTTTCTTCCTGAGTGCGTCAGCAACCTGCATGTTGGTTGATCAAAGGGCAGCTTGTCGTGTCACGTGTTGCATAATATAGTTTGTGTATCTTCGAGCCAGAAACGAAGTCGGTTGGCAGTTGTCAGATAGACGACGCGGTGTGAACTAGTCTCGTACGCGATACAAGGTGGAAACGAACACAACGCTATTTGCTCGCGATATATACATTCGTCGAAACGTTTTAATAATCTTGGATATAGGTAACTCATCTTTGGAATCTTTTTCACAAGTTGTTATCAATTGATACTTTTTCTCATTAAAATTATTTAGGTAAGCTTTCGATATCGCGAATTGGTATTCACGAGAGATTTGCAAAATAAAATTTTCGATATTTATTGTGTTGTTGTAATAAAGTAAAATGACGGACTTGAACATTTTGCTAGTGTCTGAATCTTCATGATAACGTATATGTGTTTCCATGTCAATAACATGATGTTTGATGCTTTTTTAATGTATAATGATAATATTCTAGGATAACGTCTTTGACAGTGGATGAGTTAAAAGTGTTAATGGTTATATCGATTTGATATAAGTTTTGATCAGTTTTGTTGACTGTGTTTTACATACACACACACATATATAGATATTGAATATTAGATTAGCTTTCGATGAACAAATATGTTGAATACGAATTCTTTTAAATTTTATAAACACATATCAATCAACATGTTATTTATATGTAGATGATGTGCTATACACAGTGTTTATGAAATTTGTATTACGTATATATTTCACTTTTTTTAAATTCAGTATTTGCTTTAAAAATATGTTTTTATGCACTCGAATGACGGGATTGTCCGGAATATTCAATCTTTCTTAATTATAAATTTATGCATGATCATATATTTATCATATCATCATATATTTATCTGCGACTGAATAATATAATAAATATTTTGGAGTGGTTTATTTTTTGATACAGAAAATAATTTTTTATTGATTTTATTTTATGTGATTGTTTATCTAATATGCATAGTTTTATATTATGTAAATATTCTATGAACATATTTTTTAGATAATATTTTATCATTAAATTTCGTTTAATTTTATATTTAAGCTAAGATTTTATGCAATCAAACTTTTTTTCTTGAAAGATAAAATATATTGAATATTATAGAATAATTAATAAATAAGTGTGGCCAAAACAATTGATTTTTTATCTTTAAAAAGAAAAATGATAATTAATTAAAATTCTTTCTATTAAAAAATTGATATTTTGATATCAATTATCGATTATGTTTCATACATAGATTTTATATATATAGTTTAACACTATTCAATACGGTCATCATAATTTACAAATCGATATTATTGATTTAATATCATATTACTAATACTTCATAATACTTATACTTAACTAATACTTATTTACTGCATTATATTCTCGTATAATTATGAACATCTTGAATTATTTTACAGTTTGACTTCACTTTCATTCTTATGTCTTCCGCATATTATATAAACATGTTACATAAACATTATATTACATATTTCATTAATAATGTAATAGTTGCGTCTGTAAATTTCTTTCGTTTTCTTATATTTAATTCCTCGTATTGATACATACAAAATTTGGAAAATAATATGGTCAAAAGGGAAAAGAACGAAATTCGTCTCGATCATTTCCATTTATCGATAAAAATTTTTACTCACCTTTCATCTCTGATTCCAGAGAAAGATTTTTTATTTCGTCGCAATCCTCATCGACGAAACCCATCACCGTCAATTGATATTTCGAACCATCCTCCCCTACGAGCTTCAATCGCCACTCGCCAGATGGCGGATTCCACGTCTTAATTCGCACACCTTCCGCATCGCCCTTACTCGTCCAAGATATGATCGTTCCGTGCCTCGAAACTGTTGCGTCTATTAATTGGAATATAATAAGCTATTGTACATATTCGAATTTCAACGAATTCATTATTTCCCAATGTTGATAACCGGTGATCAATTTGCTCGTGAAAGAAACATTCGTCGAACGTTGAAAGGATGATATCGAACGTTTCGATAGTTCGAGGGGAATTGACGATGAATATAAGCAAGACAATCGATGAATTTGTGCGTGCGACGATGTAGTGGATAGGTATTTTCTATCTAAAATGAGAATCGTTTAGTGTGATGCAACGAATGCAGATGGAATTTACCGAAACGAGGAAATGGTCGATACTACTATATTACTACATAAACATATCTGAAAATATGAAAGTGGCAGTGAACAAAGCAAAAGGAAAGGATAATACATTGGGGATTAACTTTTGGGGATGAAACCAAGGTATACCTGGATAGGTTTGTTTCATTTATAAAAGATTTGTGTTGTGTACAAGATACAGTGAAGTAGTGAATTTAGTGTTTGAAACATATCTTTTTGCAAATAATAGAAAAAAGAGTAATAATAACGAAAAAAAAATAAATCTAAATAATTTATCAATATGAAATTAAAAAATATTTCAAATTATTCGATATTACGGAGTTCTATTATTAGGCTTAGTCAATATCTAGGTATGTGAATGTATTTATCGTTTAACAGATATCGTTTTAGAAATTTCTTCCTAAATGACAACAATGAAAACTCGAGAATTTTCCAAGAATTTTAATATTCTTGTTATAAATTGAAATGAACGTTGTTCAAATTTTATACACGATTATAACGGTTATAAATAATATGCAAAAATAAGATTTCTTTACATAGAAATAGTTAATTAACAATTTGAAGGTCTTTTCGAAAATGTATTTAAACGTTTCGTTAAAAGAGGTGTAAAAAGTAAAAAATTTTTACGATATGTATATTTTTTTATATTGACAATCACACATAGAATCATGACGATTACGTCTATGAAATAACGCATGTCATCTAACAATGAGTACGAATACAAAAATGATTGTGCGATGATTAATCGCCACGTCAGCCTTCTTACCAGGCATTGAAAATTATTTTTAGTTTACGACACGCGATGAAATTGGCTGTGTTTATAGTGTTAAAACACGTGGTTCGAAGTGCAACCTTTGCA